AAATGTAGATACTCAAAAAATGATACTCATGTTCCTGAGTACAATGTGAGGGTGTAACCATGAAATGAACGGAAAAATTGCGCATCTTGTACATGAAATATGAGGTTGAACAAGTGGTGAAATAATATTTTAATTTTATAAAATTCAAACAAAGTCTGAAAATTACGAAACTCGCGCTGGTATCATGAAACCATACGTGAAAGCCATGCTAAATCATAGAAAATTTTTCTCAAAAGTTGTGACGCGTGTTGTTTACAAACCGGAGGTTCTCTGAAGAAGATCCATAGAGTTATGAGGTGCTCGTTTAGATTTTAAGTCAAAACAACGGTGACATTATTGTTTCACTATAATTCTTTTTTGTTAGTTAATAGAACTTAGGAAATGTATTTACACAAATTTTGGTGATTTTTTGAATTTGTTTGGTATTTGTTTATTTTTTTTCAACTGTCGACTGAAAAAGTATATTTGAAGAATTTGATTTTTTTATTTCAAATTACCTCAGATGGATGAACATCCAAAATGAGAGCTGAAGATCACAACAAGTTATGAAAGTTTGTAGTTAATGACATTTTCATTTGAAATCATATTGTCAACGAAAACTAATTGAATTTCTCAAATTTTAAATTCAAATTTTATAAATGGCCTCGGATGGAGATATTATCAAAATAAAATTTGTAGACCTCCACGAAATATAAAACTTTGTAGTTGACAACTTTTATATTTGAAATTGTTTAATACCTCAAATTAAACACACAAAGCAAATAAGAAAACACAATTGCCACGTCATCAATCCATCCATTCCAAATCCAGCCCTCTCATTGGTCCAATCCAAACCACATGGATCCCTCTCCCTCATCTCTCTTCCTCATCTCTCTCCTTCCACCGAACCAGCCATTCTTTCTTCTCTCTCTCTCTCTATCTCTCTCTCTCTCAACTCCACCGGTGGTGTCTCAAAAAAAAAAAAAAACTCCACCGGTGGCCCAAGGCAGCGAGGAGGCGTGGAGGCCGGCGAGGAGCGTGGAGGCGGCGAGCAGCCGGCACGCCGTGCGCCGCCGCGCACTCTGTGACGGCGCTGCCGTGTCGGCGTCCGCCTACGTGTCGGCGCTGCCGTCGCTGGAGGACGCGGACGCCGCGTCCGTGGTGTCGTCGGGGTCCAGGACCAACGGCGGCTTCTCCCTGCAGCTCGGCCACGGCCACGCCGCGCGTGACGCCTTCCTCGGCGCGCGCCTTGCCTGGACCAACCCCATCCAATTCGGAGGGGCAGGGGAGCAGCGGCTGGTGCTGCGCGTGCGTCGGCACGACCGGACGCGGGTGCTGCGGCCTTACCTGCAGCACGTGGAGTCCGTGGCCGACGAGATGGAGCAGCGGCGGCGCGAGCTGCGGCTGTTCGCCAACACCCAACAAGACGGGGGCTGGGCGTCGGCGTCGTTCACGCACCCGGCGACGCTGGACACGGTGGCCATGGACCCGGACCTGCTCGTCCTGCTCCCTCAGCTGCTCGGCACGGTGCGTGCGACGGCGACGGGGTGGCCGGTGGTGGTCCCTCAGCTGCGCACGGCGCGGCTGCGTGGTGGTGGTGGTGGGCGGCGGTGGCGTGGTGTGGCGCGGCGTGGTGGTGCTGGTGGTGGGCGGCGGTGGCGTGGTGGTGGTGGTGGTGGTGGTGGGCGGCGGTGGCGTGGTGGTGGTGGTGGTGGTGGTGGTGGTGGGCGGCGGTGGCGTGGTGGTGGTGGTGGGTGGCGGCGGCCGCCGGCGGCGGCAGGTCTTTTTTTTTTTAATTATTTCAATAATGTTTGCCGAGTGTCGGTTTTGGCTCTCGGCAAACACTTTGCCGAGTGCTCGACAAAAAGCACTCGGCAAACCCGTCTTTGCCGAGAGCTGTTTGCCGTCCGGGCTTTGCCGAGTGTTACACTCGGCAAACTTTTTGCCGAGTGTAATACTGGCTTTGCCGAGTGCTTCGGGCACTCGGCAATTATGGGCTTTCCCGTAGTGAAAGCCAAAATAAACTGGATTGAGAGTCTTTCCTTTCATCCCTAAAAACCTCAACTAACAAGTCAATGTCACCTAGCAATAATTTAATCTTATGACAAACCTATGAGACTATGAAATGAAACTGTGCACTGGAATATGCAGTTTGATTTCACTAAACAAGACCACAAAGGTGATGTGTCACTCTTAGAAAATGTGAGATGAAAGTATCTATTGACATTAGCCTACGCTCCTTTCATATGGATTTCATTAAGTTTAATATATGTAATTTTGGATTTGTACCAGGTTCATTGAACCATTCTCTGAACCTTGACAAGCATATGTCCATATTCATAAAAGATGCTATGAATCTGGACACCAAAAAGCATAGCCAGAACTGCATATATTTTGAAACAGAATAAGTATGTTCCTAATATTTGAACTCACACATGCTATTTTGGTATAATAGAATCTATTATTGGCTTAATTACAAAAACCATCTCATAAGTCGTTTGAACTTTGAAACTTAAGATATGATTTGAAGTTTGATATTCCCCCCATAAGTGTTTTTGTTGCAAAAACCATCCCAATTGCACATGTTTAATTGATTAAATTTGTTTTCATTTGTTTGAAGTAGTTTAGGGTGTTCTTATGAAACTTACAAAATTTTGAGAGTACAATCAACATATTTGAGATTGCAAAAAAAAAAAGCGGTTAGAGTAAAAACGGTGTCCTATAAAGTTTTGTATTTGGATACAATTTTTAATTAAAATAAGATGACTAAGTCTTATTTAAACACTTAACAACATTAAATTAGTTAACTTAGGTTTTCTATATTTATATTGGCGGACATATATGAAATTGATAAAATATGCGCACAGTAGGGTGGTTTTTGCAACAAAATGTAGGAGGTGGGTGGGAATTTGCTACAAAATAACTTATAGGTGATAATCTCAAACTCCAAATGACTTATATGGTGGTTTTTGCAATTATCTCTTTACTATTCTACGAGGGTAAGTCAAATATTTTGATATAATGGAATGATTATTGTACAAATGTTTTCTTATAGGACAAATATCCATGCAGAAAAGTTCTTGCAGAGATTAAAAAAAAAAGACTACTTGCTCAGAAATACAAGTACATTCCCGAAAACGTAAAATTGCGTTGGCTTGTTAGGTGGGCCAAGATAGGGAAAATAGAAAAAGAAAAAAGAATAAATCTACTGTAGCATATGTTTTTTGAGAGACAAACTGTAGCATATGTTAGAGTGCTAAAATTGCTTGCTGGGCTGGATCACAGGGTGGTCCGCGGCCCATTCTTTCCACCCTTTAGCTCCGCAAATGATTCTCGAGTAATTATTTGCTCAACACAAACTAATGCTTACAAGCGTCATGCAACAGAGTGCTTGGTACCCTTCATCAGTTGCGTGAGCGTGAGCCGCGTAATTTAGTTTTCTCTGTTTTCCAATACTTTACGACAAACACCGGGAGGCTTCGAGCTGCATCTACTGCGTCTGCCATCGAAGTTGCGGATCCCTTCTGTGGCGACGAAACTGGGCTTCCACAGCACTCCACTACATCATCATGGCCCACTATAAAGTCCAAACTGCCCCTGAACAATTCTAGCCCAATGGCCCAGTCCAAACTGCCTTGTGTCCCTAATTTAATTTGCTTCGGAGCTTTGGCTCATGGCGGCGCCGGCGTGCGCGAGCACATGGCGGCCGGCGGGCGCAGGCGCAGCGCAGGGAGGCAGGAGCGTGAGCGCCGGCGCGCAGCGGCATCAACGCATGGCTTTGGCAGCGAGGCGCGACCGCGAGCAGCAACATGCTATACAGCCTGCAGGCTTGCAGGTAACGAAAACAGAAGATGATTCGTTAATGAAGTCCCTAATCTCACTTCTCAGTAGTAGTAGATTTTAACGTTCCAATTTTGTCATTATTCTGTAGATTCTCATGATGTACAAACGAACATTTCAGGTTGCAGGTGGGGCGAGTAACGGACAGCCCGCAAGCCACGAAGCCGGCCGCGAAGCAGATGTGCGGGCTTTGCGGGAACCCACTACCCACATGCTTCCAGAGCAATGAAGCTTCGCGGTCCTGGTGGGCAGGATGATGTAAAGTCTGAGAGCCCGCATATGAACAGCGCTTCTTCGATGCAATTAACAGTTTTTTCCATGCATGAAGCTGTTCGGCTCGCTGTTAGACGAGCGTCGCGTCCCTTGTGTACGGTCGCCTTCACCGAGCTTTGCATGTGGAGCACTTGCTCAAACGTATGTATACACACGTACGCGCTGGCGGCTGGCCGGATGAGTTCACCTACAGGCATGCACTCCAGCCAGCTTGATGTGCTTGCATGCTCCAAGCTTCACACAAAACTGTTTGCTGGCCTTCTCCTGCTTTTCTTCTAAAGTAGCGTATTCGTTCACGTACAAGCATGTACACTAGTATATATGCATGTTATTACTAGGGGTATATATACCGTATACATATGTATACTGATGTCCAAATTTCCATCAAACACCCGTATCGACAAAGAAGTTGGAGCCTAGACAGCGGCAGCGGCGACGGAGGCATTTCAGCCTTGCAACATACGTAGGATGTCTCGGCGCCGGCATTAGTTTTACACAAGTTTGCGAGATGAAGACGATGCACACGGTGGGAGAACAAGTTGCGGGCTCTCGCGGGCCGTTGCAGGTCTGCCTACTTGTCCGCCGGTTTGGCATGCCGGTAACCATTAAGCCGCAAAGAATACGCGGGTCGGCTGCATGCGCCGAAAAGTTCGATTTTGCGGGGCGGGCATGCGGGTTTCATTAAGAGCCCGCCCCACCTGCAACTTTTTTTTTTATTACACAGTACAATTCAGACACTCACAACGCACGCACACTCATCCTTATAAACGTACATACGCAAACCATACTTTTATGAGCATCTTCGAAGATTGAGTCGGCAAATCCTCGAGATTGATGACTGGCGCCTCGCTGTCGACGGCCACGTCGCCTACAGCTGAAAGCACAAAACTATTAAATCCTAGAAAATTCACTTCCACGGGGAGTCGAATCCAGGACCACAGAAGTGATACTCGGGTGCCTTAACCGTTAGGCCAAGACCGCTTTCACCGCCCCACCTGCAACCTGACGAACATTGTTCACGTATTTTTCAAGTTCAGCCAATGCCAACAGTGGTAGTAATAGCAGTCCCTTGCAAAGAATAAAAGAAAGAAAAGTAGTAACAGTCGAAACACTGATGAGAGCGCAAATGTTCAATGATTGATTGGGAAAACAAGCGAAATGTGAAAACAAAGTGACTGAACCTGAACCAAAAAGCTAGCGCGCGTGTGTGTTAGTTATATCATCTACCTTTTGTATCAACTAGCATATTGCCCGTGCGTTGCTACGGGATAAAACGATGACACTCTCTTCCCTGTTATATATAAATTAGTGTGTTAGTCTACTTAATTAGTAAAGAAAACCTTATAAATTAGCTATGTCGACCACTGAAACACATGCATATCGAATAGCCGCTAACATAAAGATTAAGTGAAAACAAGCTTTCAAAAAAAAAAAAAGACAGTGAAAACAATATCCCACTATTCTCCTCTGTTCCAAAATATTTGTCATTTTAGTTATATATCAGGTTAATATCCCACTACACATGCATATATAATCTGGACAAGCTTATGCATGTTATGAACATGGACATCCAAAAACATAGCCAACTTACTGCAATGAAGCGTGTAAAGAGGTATAGCTAAACAAAACCTAAATCAAATAAAGGGTACATGCAACCTAATGTCAGGGTAAAGAGGTATAACTAAACATAACCTGAAGCAAAGGAAACTTCAATCTCGTGAAGAAGGAGAAACATGCAACCTAATGTAACGGTACACATAATGTCAATATAATGTAAGGGTTACATATATAGGCTTATGCAAAATAAAGCTTCTGAACCATATTGCATAAAGTATTAGAGGTCAATTTCGACCCTGTGAAGAATCTCCAAAAATAACAACAATAAGATACCTTGAACGTTTTTTTACCATAATCTACATCAAAAAAAAGAAAAATTCTGATTTTTTGAAATATTTTGATGACTCTTTAAATGCAGTCAAATTTAACAAGATGCAATGTTCAACAAATTTTATTACAAAAATATGTAGCTCAAATAAACTTTGACCAAAAATAAAAGTTACTGGCAGTGCATTGATCTATAGTTCCAGTAATTTCTCTTTATGTTCCGAGTTCAGGAACATTTTGTTTTGTGGGCTGTGATTGTATCCAGTGCAGCCAAGCTCGGATCCAGTGTGGCTTCCGTGTAACCATCATGTGGCTGATATCTAATTGGCCAGCCCGAACCCATGCCAGATTCGGGAAATAAAAAAACGACAACGAATAAAAAGATGCAGTGGCTGGGACTCGAACCTGGATCAACTGGATGCGAGCGCAGAAACTTACGACTGGAGTAGAAGTTGGTTTGTGACTAAACGCGATTAAGGTTTGTAAACATAAAAAGCCTTGGACGATTGAATTCGAATTGATTTGAAAATTGAATTCGACTTGAACTCAAACAGCAGAGGTCTGAAAATCCGGCTGACGACCTCTTTTAGACTTATTAAGTAGTAGAGATTTTCGTTGAGTATTCAAATTTTAAATTTGTGTACGAGACAATTTGAATGGATGATACTTGAGTACGTGCCTGATATGACCATGAAGTGGCCAAATATTAATTCTGAAACTTTATCCAACGATCAAGTTCTATCAGCTGGTAATGTTCTGAAAATGCCTAAATTTCAGTTTGGTTCATTCTTATTTGATTTGAAGAGGACCAGTATGAAGGAAGAATTTGTTACACCACGGTTCAAGCGTATATTTGTGGGAGCTCATTTTCATAGCAAGCAAGAGATGCAGACCATGGAAAATCCAACGTGAGGGCCTCATGATCTCACATTAGTTAATTTAGTTCCTTAACTAGAAGCATTAGCATGGTTGCCGGATTATTTAATTATTTTCATATGTGAGTCTAGTGGCTGGATGAGTCGTAGTCTGGTATGGGCCGGCCAGGCCTCTTTTGCTTGTGTTTGAGTCGGACTCCTTTTTGGTGTGGTGCCTGTGCGCGCATATAGGAGCCGTCGCTCCTTGTAACAGGGTAGGTTTGATCGTATTGTTTTTCCCTGTCGAGCATTGCTCAGGAACCCTAGGTGGCGATGCCATCTGCTACTTCGTATTGAAGTGTATCTCCGATCCTTGTCTGGATTGTGATTGAGTTCGTGATCAGGTTGTTGTAACCTGGGTGCGCTTTTGATTTCTTCGGAGATCTCGTCTTCTGATCGTTCTCCTTCGAGACACGGGTGGAAGAACAAGCAAGGATTTTGGACTACTTCCTGTAAGCCGAATCCTATTTATCTATCTGCTATCTATACAATTTTACTGGTTGTGATCAGTTCAACGGAGGAATTGCTAGTTTAATTATCTTTGCGTCTGGTGTGGCTCTTGATTTGTGCCGGATATATCATATATTATTCTGCTGTTGACTGTCGTGGGAATTGATTAACACGTTGATCTGGCCAGAGGATAACATATTGTATTGTTATTGCTGAAAAATTCTTTTCTGAAGTCTAGTACCGTGAAGATCGGGACAACATCAGGAACACGTCACCGTGTTCTTATCATTTGGTATCAGATTCAGGTTTCTCACGGTACTGCTCGAGTTGTTTTGTCATTATATTATTGTGCCACTTCATCATCATGTTGGATGAACGTCTAATCTTGGAGATGAACTTTGTGCCAACCTTGGGTATAATTACTACTCCTGATGACTATTATAAGTGGGAAGATGCTATGGAGGAGTTCTTACGGGGTCGACTTATGTCACATATAGAGTTGGACCTTGCAAAGATCGGGACAACATCAGGAACACGTCACCGTGTTCTTATCAGTGCCCCCCCCCCCCCCCCCCCCCCCCCCAACCCCCCCACCCCACCCTTTCTCCAATTTCCGTCTGGATGGACCACTGATGCATCGTCCATGGAATACCTGCAGGACTACAGGCATGAAATGTGGCTGTGGGTCGCCTTCCACAGAGTTTTGTATGGAAATGCCGAGACCAAAATTTATGTGCACTCTGTTGGATATGTTCTCTAAGGACCCTTCAAAATTACACATGCATCCTCCTCTTATAGAAGCATCCCAGCGGGAATATTGAGAAGCCACAAGACCAAACATCAGTTTCGTTTCTAGTTGTTCCTCATGCGAGCCTTATCATGTGTGGTAAGTACCAAACTGGGGCTCGCACTCATGCATGTAGCTCAAAAATAAAATAAAATAAAACTAGCTTAGAATGAGGGTTCAGCTTGGCCGGTGGCATAAATTCAGAAATAAGCATTCCATAGTATGTTTCTAAAACATAAAGGTAAATAATCCTCCTTTTTTCGAAAAAATTGAACTCAGCTATTTTGGTAGAATAGAATTTATTATTGAGTATAATGCTCTAGAGATCAACGAACTAGTCTGCCAATGTCATTTAGGTACATAAACTTTTTTTTGCATTTTTAAGTCCACAAACTTCTTCGTTTATATCATCTAGGTTCGCAAACTTTTATTTTACAATTTTAGGTCCACAACTTTTTGGTGTATTACAGGTCCATGTCCTTTCACCAAGCATTTTTTTTTTGACCGAAGTCAGTAGGGGAAACCCCAACCTATTTTTTTTAATTCCAGCCTGGTTATTCGCTCCCACGAGGAGTTGAATCCAGGTCTGCTAGATGCTACTCAGGTGCTCTAACCACTAGGCTGCACCTGAGTAGCATCTAGCAGACTTGGGTTCAACTCCTCGTGGGAGCGAAAAACCAGGCTGGAATAAAAGAAAATTAAAGAAATAGGTTGGGGTTTCCCTTACTGACTTCGGTCAATTCACCAAGCATTTAGATTTGGCATGCGGACACCATGTCACCCTTACATATATATGGGTCATACCTCTTAATGTCCTCTTCTTTTCGAGTCATTCGACAAAATCATGGCGTTTCTCCTACCACTTATTTGTCTCCTTCATGTATGTGTCTTTCCAGCTCCCTATTCTAGATCTGACCATCCTTCTACGCATGGCTTTGATGGACCTTGCCACACCTCTGCGTGGTGGGCTAGGGAACCTAGGGGCGAACTCGTGTCAGCACGCTCGTGCAGCTGGAACAAGCTCGTGATCATGTCCTCTGGCAAATTCATGTTCCAACTTTTGGTCAAATCCTTGCTATGGTGTAAAAAAAAGTTTATGGGCCTAGATAACACATACAAACAAGTTCATGGACCTAAAACTACAAAATGAAACTTCATAAACGCAGATGACATGTATATGACACAAATAGATAATTTTGTGGACCTCCAGTGAATTTTATTTTTTAGTATTCTACGTACAAGTGTAAGTTAAATATGTTGGTACAATATATAATGCTTATTATATTGTAGTACAATCCTATTTTATAGGACAAATGTCTATGCAGAAAAAGTCCTCGCAGAGAGATAAAGAAAACACTACTCTCTCGTTACAAATTAGTTGTCATTCTAACTCTAGGAAGAAAACAATTAGTTAAACAAGTGTGTAGGACCGAAAGCAAAAACAGCAATTATCGGCTAACCGAGGCTCTCGTTTTCAACTTCTTCCGATCACAATGAAAATTACCAAAAAATGAAAACAAAAAATGAAAGTATGTGGTGAAAACAATTTTAGACTCTTCAGATTGTTTCCAACAATTTCTGTTTTGGTCCAAAAATTATCGCCAATATTTTACCATTTTACATTAGCTTACCATTAAACCATATATATATATTATCTATTTTAGTCTGAACATCTCTTTTCAAATGTATCGTGTTATGATCCATTTGTAGCTAGTTCAAATACCAACCATATGTTCATATTTGATATTCTGATACATGATGTGTTGCGGCCAATACACGGGTTGTGTTTTGTGTTACCGATATTTACTATCGATTTTCGATCGATACTTCATATTTCTATCATGATAATTTTATTTTTGATATTTTCGTAATACCGATACCGTATTTGTTTCCGTCAGTATTGCTACCGACCGTTTTCATCCCTTAGTGTTGAGGGAGAAGGAGAA